GCCCTCCAGGCGCCAGCCCTGTGTGGCCCGCAGACAGGCCCCAGAGCACCGTCCTCTCCAGGTGGGCTGAGAAGAGCGCCCAGCACACCAGCATGGGAGGCTCACTCTCGGGACAGGGGCCGCGGGGGGCTTCTGGGGGCTGGCGTCCGAGCTGGGGCTTACAGGACTGGGAGAAGTTTATCTCAGAGAAGGCAGGGAAGAGAATGTCCGGCTTGGTGAAAAACGACCAAAGGTCCCTTGTGGCTGAACATGTGCGTGCACATGTGTTGTGTGTGTGGTGTGGGTGTGTGTTGTGTATGGGGTATGTGTGGATGCATGTGTGTGGTGTGTGTGTGACGTGTGTTGTGTGTGTGGGGTTGTGTATGGGGTGTGTGCGTATCTGTGTGTATGTATATGGGTGGTGTGTGTATGTGTGGTGTGCTGTGTGTGTTGTATGTGTATTGTGTATGTGGTGTGTGTGGTGCAGTGTGTGTGATATGTGTGTAGTGGTGTGTGTGGGGTACGTGTATTGTGGGGCTGTATGGTATGTGTGGTGTGCGTGTGCACATGTGTGTGTTGTGTGTGTGTGTGGTGTGAATGTGGTGTGGTTTGTGTGTGTGCATGTGTGTGTGTGGTGTGTGATATGTGGTGTAGGCGTGTGTTGTATATGGGGTGTGTGTGGTGCAGTGTGTGTGTGATATGTGTGTAGTGGTGTGTGTGGGGTGTGTGTATTGTGGGGGTGTATGGTATGTGTGGTGTGGTGTGTATGCATGTGTGTCTGTTGTGTATGTGTGTGGTGTGTGTGTGTGGTGTGAATGTGATGTGGTTTGTGTGTGTGCATGTGTGTGTGGTGTGTGATATGTGGTGTAGGTGTGTGTTGTCTATTGGGTGTTTGTGGATGGATGTGTGTGGTGCGTGTGGTGCAGTGTGTGTGTGATATGTGTGTAGTGGGGTGTGTGTATTGTGGGGGTGTATGGTATGTGTGGTGTGGTGTGTGTGCGTGTGTGTGTGTTGTATGTGTATGTGTGGTGTGTGTGCATGTGTGTGGTGTGCGTGTGTGTGGTGTGTGTAGGTGTGCTGTGAGTGTGGTGTGCATGTGTGTGTGTATGGTGTGGGAGGTGAGGAAGAACGTGGTGGGAGGTGACAGCCAGACCAGACTGAGGGAGAAGACCAGACTGAGGAATCTGAACTTTCTCCTGGGGGCAGAGGGGAGCCCCCGCAGGGCTTAGAGCAGTGGAGTGGCCTAGTCAGATGTGCGTGCTGGGAAGATCCCCGGGTGCCGTGGGGTGAACGGGTTAGAGGAGGCCTGGCCAGAAGCCGTGGACCAGCTCAGAGGCCGTGATCACAGCTGAAGTGAGACGTGTAGAGGAGCTGACCCAGGCAGGGGTGGTAGGGCTGAGAAAGAGAGAGAGAGAGAGAGCCCAAGGCCACTAGGGGGTAACAACGACGACAGCTGATACAGCACTCAGATGAGCCATGTCAGCTCATTTAATCCTCACAATAACCCTAAGGGGCAGGTCCTATTGTTATTTCCATTTTACAGATGAGGAGCTGAAACACAGAGAGGTTAAGTCACTCGTCCAAGGTGGCACAGCTGGTGAGTGGTAGAGCCGGGATTTACCCCCAGGTAGCTCAGAGTCCAGCTCTTCTTAACCACTATACTCAGAAGCCTCCAGACTCGTAGTTCGGACATGGCTGAGAGGCACCCATACGATGGGAAGGACTGGCCCGAGGACTGCAGGTGTGGTGGGGTGGGGGCAGGTGTGGTGGGGTGGGGGCAGGTGTGGTGGCATGGAGACGGGTGGGGTGGGGTGGGGGCAGGTGTGGGGACGCAAACCCAGGCAGCGAGCTTGGAGCAGGGTGTGTGAAGGAGGAGAGGCCCAGGGAAGAAGGAGGCCTGGAGGCCGCCTCAGGGTCAGCCTCTCTCCCCGTTCCCTGCCCTCTCCCCGTCACCCCAGACCAGGAGTTACCTCAGTGTCTTCCCAGCCTCTTCCTGTCGGGAGAAGTGAATCCAGAAGCTCTGCTCGGAGCCCAGGCTGCAGAGAGAGGGATGTGGGGAAGCCAGGGCCCACCAGCATCCTAGGGACCAGGTGCCAGGTGGCGCAGGAGGCAAGGTGGCTGGACCCACAGGGGCAAGGGAGAGTACAAGCCAAGGAAGGAAAGGCCCTTATTGACAAGCGGAGATCCCCAACTCATTCTGTGAGGACAATAAAACCAGGCCTTCCCCACCCGTGACCTCCCTGATCCCCATGGTACACAGGCCTCAGAGGATGGAAACTGATCCCATGTTCAGTGAACCCTGAGACTCAGAGAGGGGCAGAGGTTGCCTCAAGTCATACAGACAGAGGGCCGCTAAGTGTGGGAGTCTTGTTGCCTCCCCCCGCCCAACAACAAGTGGTGCCAACATCTCCTTACTTCACCGAGGCCTCCTGGACACCCGGGCAGGAGGGGAGCATCTCCACCAGGCACAGGGCACTTTCCTGAGAGATGCTGTTGTGACTCAGACTAGAAGAGAAACGAGGTTCAGGTTGGGGTGTAGGGGGCAGCACCTCACTGGAGCCCTGCCCAGCCTCCCTCATCTCCTCCCCTCTGGCTGTCATCTCCGGGAGGAGAGGCCTCAATATCCAAGTGTCTATTCTCCGGGTGGAGACACTGAGGGCCAGAGAGAGGCCAGAGGGGCACCACCCCCACACGGGCAGGACAGGCACCAGACCCTGAGTCCTCCAGAGCTGCACCCACTGTGCCCGCTGCCCTTGTGATCTGGGACAGGGCGTCAATGAGGCCAGGCTGGCAGCTCCAGCCCCCCAGGGAGCAGGGATGCCCAGAGCCCAGAGCGCAAAGCTCAGTTGCCCAGCAATGGCTGTAGCCTGGCTCTGGCCGTCAGTCTCCCAGGTCACTGGGGAGGTTGAGTGCGAGTGCCGATGACTTCCTAGGGACCCTCTTTGCTGTGGGGACATCTTCAAATCTGTGTCCCACAGATTTGGCTAGAGGAGCTTGAGGGACGGGATGGACCAGGACAGGACAGCTGAGGTCCTGTATGAGCTGGTTAGGGATGAAACTGGTCACTTCTCTGTCCCAGAGTCAGCTTGGGTCACCAAGCTTTAGTCCCAGTCTCTTCTGAGTGCCTGGTGGCGGCTCTGCCCGTGGTGGGCAGGGAAGGAAGGAGGATAGGACCCGAGATGGAGTGGAGTATCAAGGTAAGAATCACTCCTTCCCTCTCCCCAGGCTGTGTCCTCTGTGGTTCTCCAGGGAGCGTTAAAAGAAGCCCATTAACGCTCCTGGCCCAGGGGGGTCTTCCTCCTTGCTGTCCTTGAGGCTGCTCGTCACTTACTCAAGTGAACCGGAGATGGGCACCCGAGGCAGATGTTCCAGGAGGCACCTGAGCCCGTCATCACCCAGCAGGTTTGCTGAGAGGCTGTGAGAGGTGAGAGGAGGTTGTTGGTGGTCACACTTGCCTCCTCAGCCGGTGCCTTCTCTTTAGTTACCATCACTGCTACTCTACCCACACAGCACTGTCATTGTCACCTTCACCATCACCTCCAACACTCTGCACTAATGTCCCACCATCACCACCACCACCATCCCATCACTGCTGCTCAACATCACCATGTCATCACCACCACCACCACCATCCCATCACT